TCAGGCCGCGACGGGCGGCAAGGCAGGGCCGCGGGTGGCGGCAGGGCAGGGCCGCGACGAGGCGGCAAGGTCAGGGCCGCGACGAGGCGGCGACAGGGCAGGGCCGCGACGGGCGGCTAGGTCAGGGCCGCGACGGGCCATTAGGGCAGGGCCGCGACGGGCCGAGAAGGCAGGGCCGCGACGGGCGGCACTAGGGCAGGGCGCGCGACGGCGCAGGTGAGGCAGGCGTGAGGCGTGCTTCGGGCAGGGCAGGAAAAGAAAGTTTAATCGTGGTGGGCCCTAAAAAAAAAACGTTCCCACTAGGGAACCTGCTCTGAAACCATGTCAGAAATGTGAAGGAAAGAATGACTAGAAAGAGAGCAGTACAAGGTTTGTATAGGCAAAACCTAATTTGGGCTGTACCCCATAAGGAGTGCCCCACTACAGCCTAGAGCATATATGCATAGTTCTGACACAGTTTGGTACTTTTAAATTATATTTGTTATTATATAAGCACATGCGTTTATATTTTTTACTCAATTATAAGCGCACCCCCCTCAAAAATACTGTCTTTTTATAAGCGCACATGCGCTTCTATCCAGGGTGATACGGTATGTATATCAGAAAATCGGATCATTTTGGTCTGAAAATATCCCCCACTCCCTCCCCTCCTCCCCCTCCCCCAGCTCCACCGGCTGGAGGCACCGGAGGGCCCACTTCCTGCCCTCCTACCCCACCTCCCCCGACCGGAGGCAGTGTGAAGATGAGGTGTGCTTGCAACCATGCTTGCGCTAGCAACCCCATGTGTTGCCAGTGCTCCTGCACCAATACAAGGTGACTTATGGAGGGGATCGCATGTCTCTTGTGGGGTGGGTGCTGCACCTGGCATATTTGAAGCTCCTTCACACAGCCGCTTCATTTGTGACAATATATGTGATAGTGGCAGCGGCATGGTGCTGAATTTTCTCTCTTATTAAATTATTTTTTCCAACATCTTCGTAAACCCTTTATGTTATTTCTCACATACCATGATCCCCCGTATATAGACACATCCGTTTATTTGACGCATGCGCTTGTAATCGGACTAATGCGCCTATATCCGGTTTCCGATTATTAGCGCACCCTCTGCTTCGAATTCGCATCCCCTTTAGAAAAGGTTTCGTTTCACAGGAAAGTTTTGCATTCTACACTCCGTTTAATTGGCGCATGCGCCTATAAATTCGATTCGGTTATAAACGCTATCACCTTTTAAAGGTAATCCCTACAAGTGCATATGTGCATAGTCCAGGGGACTAAGGTACCATGTAGTTGGTTGGTTGTGGTGCTCTGGAGGTATGCAGTGAAAATACTCATACCATCACATGAGTCTCTCACCCTGATAGGAAGTGCCTTATTCTATTGTGAGCTAGCATGTTGATGGCCATGGTTTGTAGCTTGGTTGAAACTGCTACCAGTAGTCCATGTTGCAACAATAGTGCGGCACCACAATAAAACCAGGTCATCAGCATTTCCTCTTTATCAATGCAAACTATGTTATTATAGGTTCTTAGGCTACAGTTAGTAACACTCTAGGGGTTACAACCCTTTTAGGGTTGCATACTTGTATCCCATCTTGCAAGTCACAAACCATTCCGCTGTTCAGTTCCCATCATAGTAGGTTCGCTCATAGGTCGCTTACCTCCCTAGCTCCTAGCCATCCCGCCGTAGGCTAGCCTGCCACCAGCCCGCCCCAGCCACAGCAGAGCGAGGCCCAGCCAGAGCAAAGCGCGCCCTTGCTAGAGCAGTGCGAACCCCAGCCAGAACAGCACGCGCCTCACCGAGAGCATCGCGCGCCCCAGCCAGAGCAGCGCGCGCCCCAGCTAGAGCAACGTGCGCCCCAGCCAGAGCAGCGCGCGCGCCTCTGCCAGACCAGCGCGCACGCCAGCCAGACCAGCGTGCGCGCCAACCAGACCAGCGCGCACGCCAGCCAGACCGGCACGCGCGCTAGCCAGACCAGTGCGCGCGCCCCTAGCCAGCCAGCGCGCGTGCCACTACCTGCCAGCACGCGCGCATTAGCCAGCCAGCGCGCGCGCCACTGCAGTAGCGCCCGAAGCGCATACGTAGCCCGATGCGCGCGCCTCTCCCTAGCGTGCCTAGGCCCTCACCAGTGCCTTACCTAGCTCCTCACCGTCGTTTTTCGGGTTTTCGTACCGTTCCTTCTCTCAGTGCTCCGCTCCGCAGCGGCTGGAGGCCGCTCCTCCTAGTTCTAGTGTACTACTGGCGCATAGACCTTCTCCCACGCTTTAGGTAGGATTTAGGGTTCGCTCCTCGCTCCGACTGTTTCTAGATAAGCTCTACTAGCTCGGTGTTGCTCCTTGCTCCGGTTGTTCTTAGCCTGGCGTTCCTAGCTCCATTTGCACATTGCTCCGACCGTTCCTAGCCTAGCGCTCCTAGCTTTCGCTCGCTCCTCGCTCCGGTTGTTCCTAGCCCGGCCACTCCTAGCTCTAGCCGCTCCTAGCAGTTACCATGGCGTCCTCCCGGCATTTACGTTTCGACGCAGAGGGCCGTGCGATAGACTTTAGCACGTGGCTCCGCCAGGCCCAGCGTCACCTTACGAGCCAGCGCTACCTTCTACGCTCACGCGTCCGGCGCTCTCCAGGCCCCTCCACGCCCCAGTCCCCTGCCTAATTAGCCCCCTACCACTCCCGCGGCGCAGGCAGAGTACGACAGTCTGTTCTTGGCGCGTGAGGTTTGGGACTCTCGTGACGCTGCAGCCTGCCTCTCACTGACGGACCTTTTTCCACCGACTGAGGCCGCCCACTTCTCTCATGTCGAGACTGCGAAGGGGTGCTATGACGCTATTGTTGCTTGTTATTCCACCCCTTCCTCTGCCTCCCTTAGCCGTCTCCTCATGCCATTTGTGTTTCCTGACCTTGGGTCGTTTGAGGCTGTCTCCGACCTTGTCACCCACATGCGTTCCCTCGACACTAGCTACCGTGCAGCCTGCACCGACGCCCAGCTTGTCCTTGCCCCCCCCGCCTATGTGGCTCACCGTTCACTGGTTGGTCACTCGCCTCCCTGACCACTTCTCCTCCGCTGGTGATGTGCTTGTTAAGAAGCACCCCAGTGAGCTTACGATCGGTCTTCTTGAGAGCACTCTCTTGAAGATCGAGAGTAACCTCCTCTCTATTGCCTCTGCCACTGCCGTAGTAGTTCCCCGTCTCTTTGAGAGGTGTGCTGTGCCCCAGCTTCCCACCTTCACTGTTTCTCTTGCCACTGCTGCGGTGTTTGTCTCTGAGAAGACTGCAGCTGTTTCTGCCACTGGTGGGCAGAAACAAGGCAAGGGGGGCAAAAGTGGGGGGAAGGTTGGAGGTGGCGGGAGTGGTGGCGGTGGTGGAGGTGGGGGTGGCGGTGGTGGCGGTGGTGGCGGTACTAGTGCGCTTGGAAGAGGCGGCACTGGAGGTGGTACTGGGCCTGATGGAGGAGAGGGAGGGCAGCAGCAGTAGCAGCAGTCACAGCAGCTGCAGTCACAACAGCAGCAGCCACAGCAGGGACAGCAGCAGCGGCAGGTGCCACATCAGTTTCAGCAGTGGGGTTCTCTGCAGCAGTGGGGTCCTCCGCAGCAGTGGGGACCTGATGGTCCGGGGAGCACCGACCACAGCAGCAGCCCTGCCAGCTGGGGGGCCCGTCCCGCTTGCCGCGACTCCGGCCCCTGGACTACTCGATCCGGACGGGTCCAGGTAGTCCCGCTTTCTGCGGGCGCAGCGACCACTCTGAAGCGCGCTGCTTCCGCCGCCTCGACGACCTCTACCGTCAGCGCCACGGCTTTGAGGGACGCACCCCACGTTGGGCGCAGCTGCTTGGTCGTAAGATTCCTGTATTTGATTTGACTATGGATGAGGCTCGTCAGTATGCCATGTATGCCGATGTTGACTATAGTGCTGATGGATCTGTTTCCTCGCGTGTACCTAGACTAGGATCTTTGCCTGTTGCTAGTGTAGAAGCTTGTGCTTCCAGTCTAGGTGCTTGTGTAGTTACTAGCCCAGATGCACCTATGGCTGACACGTCACTCTTTTTCACGCTTGGACTTCGTGACCTCTGCGGCCAACACTGCAGACATCTTCACCATGACCCTTCCGCCTGGTGACCACCGCAGGTTCTATCTGCAGCTTGGCCTGGTGACTGTTGCATTGACAAGTCACAAGGTCAAGCTGACCAGTGACAACACTGCTGCTAGTGACTAATCTTGTGACCGTTTGTTTCTCTTGCTTGTTTTGATGCCCCTCACTAGCCCATGGGGGCGTGTCAAATGTTATTATAGGTTCTTAGGCTACAGTGGGTAGCACTCTAGGGAGTACAACCCTTTTAGGGTTGCATACTTGTACCCCATCTGTCACAAACCATTCCGCTCTTCAATTCCTTAGACAAACCCCTATTGGCTTGCGGGACAGCATAAGGTTCTATTATCCCGGCAAAAGACTTATCAAAGAGATGCGGACGGAAACTTGCCCTGTTCCTCTATACACTTGGCCATGCACATATTCAGGAGCAGGGCCTGTCAGACCATCCCCTGGCCTCCTTTGCTGCTGCTGCTGATGTTGATGGTAGGGGTAAGTGGTGTTCGGCCCATACGTGCTTGAGCCCATACCCATCCCTCCACCCGAGGGAGCTCCTCCTCCCTGCTGCGACAGGTTCATAGGGGGTGGGTTACCACCGAAGAGCATCGCCTGCTGCTGCGGACTCAAGGCAGCCCCCCCTGGACTCTGCTGCTGCTGCTGCTGCTGTTGGTATTTTTGCTGCTGGTTATTCTGCTGTTGCTGGGGGCTGGCACTTTGAGCAGCACGAGCCCAGGACACAACATATGAAGCGGTCTGGTTTGTTCCTCCTGGCACAACCGTACCTGTTCCATACGCACCACCCATGCCTCCCATGCCCCCACCCATCCCACCTCCCATCCCACCACCCATGCCACCACCCATGCCTCCTCCCATGCCGCCATACCCCCCTGCACCGCCATACCCTTGCTGTGGCTGCTGCTGGTACTATGGTTGCTGATACGAGGAGTTGAACGCATACGGAGCAGCAGCACCAGCAGACAGGCCGGGGGCAGCAGTGGCTTGAAACGGCGGCTCGTCAAAAGGCGAGTCAAAGGGAGAAGAGGAGGCGGCAAGAGCATTGGAAGCGAAGGTGGGGGGGTCGGGGTGGGGAGGAGGGGCGATTGAAACAAGGTCGAGGCTGAGCAGGTCCTAGGTGGGAGGAGGGACGGCCGTGGCAGGCGTTGCTGCTGCGGCGGTAGCAGCAGCTCGTGTTTCTGCCAGAGATTGTTGCGGGGGCTGCCCTGCTTGACCTGCTGAGGTGGTCTATGTCTGTGCTGGTTGGAAAGAGGACGGGCCTGCAGTAGCAGCAGCAGCAGCAGCAATGGAGGCAGAGGCCTGTGCTCCATGAGACCTTCTCAGTACGCCCCCCCCATCCTCCTCCTCTGTCTAGTCACTTTCGAACCGAGCCAAGGGCAGCCCAGCCGTCATCCCCGCAGCCCACGCATCATACTGATGCCCGCGATTCACAACCCCACCCCCGCCTTGGCCCTCATTATGACTCGGATAGGACCGGTAGGCCTTGGGGCGGGGAGGAGAGGCGGCGCCGCTGCTGCTGTCACTGTGGCGGCCGTCTCCCCCGCGGTGCAGCGAGGAGGCAAGGAGGTTGCTGTGGGACGGATGGAAGGGGAAGGGAAATGGTGAAAACAAAAATGTGAGAAGGGGGAGAGGGGACAATGAGGGTGCTGTGGTGGATCAGGTGCCTCTGCATGTAGGTGTTCAGTGTGAGTCCCTGTAATAGGAACTGCTTGTCGCTGCGGGGTTGGTGCACGAAGATGAACAGAAGAAAGGTGATGGGAAATATCTGATGTGGGAGAGGGGGAACAATTTGGGTGCTTCTGCATGTCGTCGTTGATAGTGAGACCCTGGAAGAGAAACTGGTGATGGTGATGATGATGGTCAAGGTGATGGTGATGGTGATGGTGATGGTGATAAGGATGGGGATGGGGATGGTGATGGTGATGGTGATGGTGATGGTGATGGTGATGGTGATGGTGAGGGTGATGGTGATGGTGATGGTGATGGGGATGGTGATGGTGATGGTGAGGATGATAGTGATGGTGATGGTGATGGTGATGGTGATGGTGATGGTGGTGGCGATGGTGATGGTGATGGTGATGGTGATGGTGATGGTGATGGTGATGGGGATGGAGATAGTGATGGGGACGGGAATGGTGATGGTGATGGTGATGGGGATGGTGATGGTGATGGGGACGGGGATGGGGATGGTGATGGTGATGGGGATGGGGAAGGAAATGGGCATGATGATGGTGATGGTGATGGTGATGGTGATGGTGATGGTGATGGTGATGGTGATGGTGATGGTGATGGGAATGGGGATTGGGATAGGGATGGCAAAAGGTGGTGGATGATGGGTGGAAGATTCTTAGGTTTCTAGGAGCGTGCCCTTACTATAGTGTCATTATTGGCTCAAGGCAAGCTTACTGCCTTGTGTGTGTGGTTATTGAGGGGATACGGTTGATGGCTTAAGGGGTGGAAGGATAGTGGTTGGGTGGGAAGGGTGGTGAGGTTGGAGGCTTGTACTGCCTGAAAGGAACTCCTCTGAAATGTCCTCAGAGGTTTATTGCAATAACCTCTTACCGCAGACTGTTGTTTGACAAACATCAGGCTTAGAGGGATTGCAAGCATGAGGTCGAGGCTGAGCAGGTCCTGGGTGGGAGGAGGGACGGCCGTGGCAGGCGTTGCTGCTGCGGCGGCAGCAGCAGCTTGTGTTGCTGCCATAGATTGTTGCAGGGGCTGCCCTGCTTGACCTGCTGAGGCGGTCTATGTTTGTGCTGGTTGGAAAGAGGACGGGCCTGCAGTAGCAGCAACAGCAGCAGCAATGGAGGCAGAGGCCTGTGCTCCATGAGACCTTCACAGTACGCCCCCCACATCCACCTCCTCTGTCTGGTCACTTTTGAACCGAGCCAAGGGCAGCCCAGCCGTCACCCCCGCAGCCCACGCATCATACTGATGCCCGAGATTCACAACTCCACCCCCGCCTTGGCCCTCATTCTGACTGGGATAGGACTGGTAGGCCCAGGGGCGGGGAGGAGAGGCGGCGCCGCTGCTGCTGCCGCTGTGGCGGCCGTCTCCTTCGCGGTGCAGCGAGGAGGCGAGGAGGTTGCTGTGGGACGGATGGAAGGGGAAGGGAAATGGTGGGAACAAAAATGTGAGAAGGGAGAGAGGGGACAATGAGGGTGCTGTGGTGGATCAGGTGCCTCTGCATGTAGGTGTTCAGTGTGAGTCCCTGTAATAGGAACTGCTTGTCGCTGCAGGGTTGGTGCACGAGGATGAACAGAAGAAAGGTGATGGGAAATATCTGATATGGGAGAGGGGGGACAATTTGGGTGCTTCTGCATGTCGTCGTTGATAGTGAGACCGTGGAAGAGAAACTGGTGATGGTGATGATGATGGTCATGGTGATGGTGATGGTGATGGGGATGGGGGTGGGGATGGGGATGGGGATGGGCATGGGGTGTTATAGATTAAGGACGGAGTCTATGAAGATTAGGGGCTGAAATATCTCAAAATCGTCAACTACAATTCTGGACAGAAAAGTCGTCGTCACAAGAAACGTCGTCGACGAAAGGTCCACTGTTAGAATTCTTTCAAACTCGAGTATGTTGTAGCCCTTGACCGTGGCTATCTTTCCCAATTTGAATAGTATCAGAATATGGAGTATAACTCGAGTTATGAACTTCGGCGCACTAGGGGGTATGCTGCCATAGAAAACGTAACTCAATCACAATGATCTCACAAGTTCACACAAGAAAGTTAGAGTAGCAATAGAACCAGGTAGGAGGGGATGAGGAGGACGAGAGGGAAGGTCCCAAGAGAGTCCCCAACCAAGGAAACCCCATGCCATACAATTCCCTTCCCCATAGGCAACCCAACTTTGACCTTTGTCACTATCCCAACCTCCACAATCCACCTCAACCCAACTTGGCCACACTTGCCAACCTGGTTTGGTTTCTCCCAACCATTTGGCAGCAACTACAGTAGAAAAGACGAATTTCCCAACCCCCAAAAGTCTGTACCCCATATTGAGTCAACCCCACAACTTCCCATAGTCACCCCAACCAAATATCAAAAGCATACGAACTCCAACGTTCGTAACTTTCTAGTTCGTGCTCCGATTGAAGCGATACTTGGTTCCTCGGAAAGCTCTTGAGCAGAGGAGTCACTTCAGATATCTGCTCAAGCCAAATAACATTCACACACACACTCAGAAAAACCAAACCGCACAAAACACAAATTCTTGCACACACTCACAACACGCATGCAACGCACGAACATATGATGGGAGGCAGACAGACGTGAATGCGAATGGTAGCATCACTCAACAAACTCCCCCTCTGGCTGCCAACCATCATCCCACATGCCATAGCTCAAGCATGCATCCTCAATGCACACTCATCCCAGCAAGCTTCATGCCCTTCCAATGCTCAGATTCAGCCAGGCGCTTGGTGAGAATGTCAGCCGCCTGCTGATGGGTCTTCACAATCTCCAGCCGCACCTCCTTGTCCAGGAGCCTCCTCACCCAATGCCACTTAGGCCTGATGTGCTTCGTCAGCCCATGAAGGCAAGCGTTCTTAGCAAGCTTCACAGCCGACTCGTTGTCACAGAAAATCACAGTTGGCTCCTTTTGGCACACTCCGATCTCCTCCAACAAACGCCTCAGCCACACCACCTCCTTTGCCCCATGATGCAGAGCCATGTACTCTGTCTCACACGAGGACTGCCCCACCTCGTTCTGCTTCTTGCTGCGCCAGCTCACTGCACCACCTCCAAACAGGCACACATAGCCTCCAATGCTGGTGCCATCCGCCTTCACAGAGTTGAAGCTAGCGTCGGTGTAGCAGGTCAGGAGCATCTCCCCCTTGCCCAAATCAGCTGCACCCCTCTGCAGCCTCTGTCGCACAGCACTGTACTCCAAGCCCACTAATGCCGTAGTGCTCACATAGCGGACCAACCTCTTGGCCGCTTCCAGCTGCTCATGACTGGGGCGTGAAACCACACTTGCAAGCCTGGATGTAGCAAAGGCAATGTCAGGCCGCGTGTAGTTAGCCGCATAATTGAGTGCCCCCACCATGGAATGAAACAGCTTCCTGTCACTCTCACCCACCACCTCCTCTTCAGCACAGGGCTCCACAGTGAACCCCGAAGGCAGTGGGGTGGCTGGCTTTCCTCCATCTTGCAGCCCATACTTCTCAGCCAGCCCCTCACAATACTTTCTCTGGTGCAACCTCAACACTCCCTTGTCAAGGTCCCTCTCCACATGCATGCCCAAATAGTACTTCACATCTCCCATCTTGGAGCACTTAAACTGCATCTCCAGCATCTCCTCCACATGCTCAATCATTGCAGACGACTCAGAGAAGAGCAGGATGTCATCCACATACACCAGGAGCATGAGAAACTGCTCCTTCTCCTGCAGCAGGAACAAGCTGTGATCACACTCACTCTTCTTGAAACCCCCAGCCAGCAGAGTCTCCTCTAACTTGTGGTACCATGCACGAGGAGCCTGCTTCAGGCCATAGATGGCCTTCTTCAGCCTGCACACCCTGCCGCTCCCATCATCCAAACCCTCAGGCTGTAACATGTACAGCTCCTCCAGAATGATCCCATTGAGGAAGGCGGTGGTGATGTCCATCTGCTTCACCCGCCATCCACGGTATGCTGCCATTGCCAATGACACCCGAAGTGTTGTGCCTTTCCCCACAGGAGCATAGAGCTCGTTGAAGTCCTTTCCCTTTGTCTGCTGAAACCCCTTAGCCACAAGCCTTGACTTGTAGCGGGTCAGCGCCCCATCAGGTCCGTACTTGTGCCTGAAAATCAGCTTGGAAGAAATGGCCTTCTTCCCAGGTGGCAGCTCACACAGCTCCCACGTCTCATTCTCTAGCAGAGAATCATACTCCTCCTTCACACTCTGCTTCCACTTTTCAGCATCGGGCCCGCTCAATGCCTCAGCTAGCGTCTTGGGCTCAGGGACGGCTGCCCAGTAGCAGTGTGCTATCTCATCCTCATCACACTGCTCAGCCACACTCCCAGCCCTTACCACCTTTGGCTTGCCACGGCTTGCATAGGTCAGCCTGTTAGGAGGGCGCACATCCCTCCTAGGACGGTCAGCCGTACGTCCGGCACCTTGTGGAGCACCTTGCTCCTCCTGCTGCTGCGGCTGCTGCTGCTGTTGCTGCTGCTGCTGCTCCTCCACCTCAGGTTCTCCCCCATCCTCTGTCACCCCAGAGATCTCATTCTCAGAGACAGAAACCTCCACTTGCCTTGAAGGCCGCTGCACCTCATCGGCCTCGACAATTAGCGGTGTCGTTGGAAGCTTCTGCTGCTGCTGCTGCTTCCACTCCTTGTAGTACAAGGACTCAAGGAACTTCACATCCCTTGACACAGTCAGCTGCTGGCTGGTCAAGTCCCAAATCAGCCAGCCCTTGTGATCCTTAGCAAGCCCCAAGTGCACACCCCATCTCCCAGAAGCTTCCAGTTTTCCCCTCTTCTCCTTAGGCACATGAAACACCACCATGCACCCAAAGGCTCTCAGCATGTTCACAGCTGGTGCAATCCCATACCACTTGGTGTAGGGGACCCACTGCTTGTCCCCCACAGTCGCCAGCACCCTGTTCTTCACAACAACGACCTGCCGCAGTGCTGTCACCCAAAACGGATCCAGCAGCCCTGCACGCCCAAGGAGAGTGCGAGCACCTTCCTGCAGGGTCCGGTTGAACCGCTCAGCCACGCCATTCTGCTGAGGGTTGTAAGGCACTGTGAGCTGATGCTGGATCCCCTTCCGCTTCAGCTCCTTCTCAAAATCAGCGCCGATGAACTCTCCTCCGTTGTCAGTGCGGATCACCTTCACCTTGTGTCCGCTTTCCCTTTGTGCTCTCGGCATCCACTCCTTAAGAACAGCCGCTGCCACCTCCCCCTTAGTCTTGAGAGGGTACACCCACACCGCACGCGTGTGGTCGTCCACAATCGTCAAGAAGTAGCGGCTGCCCGAGAGAGAAAGGGCCCTCGTGGGGCCCACCACATCCATGTGCACTAGTTCAAGTGGTGCCTTGGCTGGTCCTGTGCTGCTGCTGAAGGGAAACTTCGTGAATTTGGTCTCAAGGCAGGTAGGGCAGCTCCCAATCTCCTTTGCTCCCCCCTTCACCTCCAGCCCCTTCAAGCACCCATCCTTTACCAACTTCTGCAGCATAGGAATGTTCACATGGCACAGCCTCTCATGCCACGTCTCCCAATCAGCCTCACCACTCCCAGATGAAGCCTTTGCCCATGCAGCTGTCGCATCCACACCAGCAAGCACCTCACCATGTGGCTGTTGTGGCTGCTGCACCTTCTTGACTGCATCCAGGGCCCCAGCAGTTGGTGCAGTCTCCTCTCCTCCCGCAGTTGCTTTAGCCGCTGCCGCTGCCTTTGCCGTTGCTGGTGGTTTCCCCTTCCAAGGGATGATGGGCAGCTGCCACAAGTCCTTGATGCAGCTGCTCTTCTCCTCCAAGTTCCACAGCAGCAACTTCCCAAGCTTTGCACGGCAGCTGGTTGGGCCGAAGGTAACTTCAGCCTTGCTCTTCTGCAGTCGGCGCACAGAAAGAAGGTTAGCGGACAAACCTTCAACCAACAGCACATTCCCAAGCCCCACAAGCTCTCCATTGGCTCCCATCACCTTGGCATTCCCAACACCAATCACAGGGAGCAAAGCACCTGAAGCGGCAGCCACAAACTTGATCTTCCCAGGAGGTTTTACCTCATCAAGCAAATCTGCCCGTGGGGTCATATGACTCGTGCAACCTGAATCGATCACCCAGTGAGTGAGGGGGTGCATCACAACCTTCCCAACTGAACCCACATCACCCCCACTCCCTTGCACATCCTCAACCATGAGGAACATCCCAGGGTGGGCTTTACCTTGTGCACCATCACCTTGTGCACCTGAACCTTGCACAGCGCCACCGCGTGCACGTTCACCACTTGGCGGCTTCATGCCTGGAGGGGCCCATCCCTCAGGCCGGCTGAAACACTTGAACCACGGGTGTCCAGCCTTCTTGCAGTACCAGCACGCACCCTCCATTCGGGTGCTCCCCCTGCCACTAGAGCTCCCATGCCCCTCATTGTAGTCACCTCGGCCTCTCCCTCTGCCAAAGCCTCTCCCACGGCCTCGGCCTCTCCCTCCCCCTCTTCCTCTGCTGCCTCCTGCAGCTCCATACCCCTCAGCAGTTT